GGGCTGAGCAGAGAGAACAGCAGAGCTGAGGGGGATCACTGATCTGTGGGGCCGAGCAGAGAACAGCACGGCTGAGGGGGATCACTGATCTGTGGGGCTGAGCAGAGAGAACAGCAGAGCTGAGGGGGATCACTGATCTGTGGGGCTGAGCAGAGAGAACAGCAGGGCTGAGGGGGATCACTGATCTGTGGGGCTGAGCAGAGAGAACAGCAGAGCTGAGGGGGATCACTGATCTGTGGGGCTGAGCACAGGGAACAGCAGAGCTGAGGGGGATCACTGATCTGTGGGGCACTAGGGACAGCAGAGCTGAGGGGGATCACTGTGATCTGTGGGGCTGAGCACAGGGAACAGCACAGCTGAGGGGGATCACAGAAGGCAGGAGTGGGATTCCCGGAGTCACACCCATCACAAGCACAGATACTCCATCCAAAGAGGGAAGTTGTCACTGCATTGGCAAGCTCAGAAATTCACATGGCATCTCATATCCCACTACATTATTAGCTGCTGCCACATCTTTCTTTGGACGAATAACTTCCTCTCACTTCAAAAACAGCTTCGTGTGTGTGGACCACAAGGAGTCTGCTCCCTTTTAAACACTCTGTGTCCTGGCTTTGTGTCGTGTTAGAAGCACGTTTGTATGAAATTCTCCTCCTCCTGGTCTAGTTCTGCACTGCAAGTGCATGTGCAGAGTCACTCAGGGATATATTAATACAAAAAATGTTTTGACAGCTGTATTTTAAGAAGATTTCATCTCACTGGGATCCACTCCTGCCATTTTGTAGCCCAGCAAGATAATGCCTTCATTAATTTTTTATAAGAGCAATTTAAATAAAACCTTTGATGCACTGCTGAGATTAAAAAAAAAAATCTTTCAGCTCTGCCTGTTGATAGTAGCACTAAAAAATGGTTAGACAAGTAATGGAGCCCTTGGAAAACATCCACTCTGCTTCAAGAAAATCTCACCAGATCAACACTACTCTTTTCTGGGTGTTTCTCAGGACTATTGAGCTGTCTGACAGTTCATTTCAGCCATAACACTGGGGTTTTTTGGAAGTTCCCTTCTCTTCATCGGCTGCCATGCCATTTTTTAATAAGAATAATTTTTAAACACTGGTCCATGAACCCTGGGTGGAGGATCTGTGGCTGTTAAAGCATTCAGGTAAAGAGGCATTAATTATTGCCAAGTGTATTCTGTGGCTTGAAGAGCACAGAACTTTGGACACAGGCAGGTCCCATCCTGAAATGTGTGCTCTGCCAGGAGGGGCTCTTGTTGGAGTTTGTAGGAATGCCTGGGTGACTGGAACGGACATTCTTTGCTATGTACTGATAAACCAGCCAGAACAACACACTTGCAAAGACCTAATCGCTGTGACAGTTTAGCCAGAAGGGCTGTTAGATCTGATCTGCCTATTTTGGTGCTGTAACTGAGCTACAGAGAATTCTGAGGACAAATTGCAACCTCTATTTGAAAGCTTCCAGGAGAAACGTAACCTGTATTTCATTTCCAAACTGAACTGGCTGGGCTGCATCTCTCCCATCCATTGGATTAAGTATTTGCCTCATCTCCAGACAGATTTCTGAATTCTGGTCTGAAATTACCCCAACCTCATGCCCAAGTTTCAGTGTTTTCATAGATGATTACAAACAAAGCTCAAGTTAACCATATTTCTGCAGAATAAACAAACTAAGTGCTTTCATACTTCTGCTGCAGAGCACAGCCTGTCACACTCTGGTCATTGTTATGACCTTGAACTTCCCCTAATGTTACAACACTTCCTAAAACATGCGTAGCCAAAGTGGGAACAGCATTCCAGGAGTAATTACACCAATACCGGGTACCAAGAGGTTTCTTCCTTGCTCCTACTTAGTATGCTCAGGGTAAGAGCCAACTTTCATACTGGCCACATTCAACACATCCAGTTAATTACCTGCTGGCAGGGAGCAGCTGCACCCCGGGGATGGGGAGCCAGTGGCAATAACACCTCCTGGAGAGCAGAACCACAGAATCTGCGAGGCAGGAAGGGATCTCTGAATGTAATCTTGTCCTCAAATGGCGTCACCTGGAGCCACTTGCCCAAGACCATGCCCAGACATCTTTTGAACATCTCCAATGATAAAGGTTCCACAACCTCCGTGGGCAACCTGTGCCAGTGCTCAGTCAACTCCACAGTAAACAAGTTGTTCTCTTATGTTCAGATGGAACTCCCATGTTTCAGTTTGTGCCTATCACCAGTGGCCACAAGTCTGACTCCATCTTCTTTACACCTTTCTCTCACTCCTTATATTGGTGACATCCCTCCAAGCTGGAGCCACAGCTCCCTCAGCCCTTCCTCATGGACACACTGCAGTCCCTTAATTACCCTACTGGCCCTTCACTGAACTCACTCCACATCACTCTCATGCTGGGGAGCCCAGAGCTGGACCCAGCACTCCAGGGATGGTCTCATCAGTGCTGAGTAGAGGGGCAGGATCATCTCCTTCAAGCTGCCAGCAAGACCCCTCCTAACACAGCTCCACATACCATTAACCTTCTTTGCCACAAGGTCATATCACTGCTCAGACTCAACCTGGTGCCCACCAGCACCCCCAGACCCTTTCCTGGGGAGCTGCTTTCCAGCCCCCAGCATGTGCTGGTGCACAAGACTGCTCCTCCTTGCGTGCTGGCCTTTAGCAATTCCCCGTGCTGAGCTTCCCGAAGCTCCTACCCACCCATTTCTCCCCCTGGATGGCAGCACAACCCACTGCTGCATCAATATTTACAGTACCTGAGCAGGGCAAGCAGGGCAGGCCCAGAGATCACAGCCAGGACCCACTGGAAGTACAGGTGATCAAGCAAAGTTCCTGGGATGATGCAGGTACAAGACAAAGGTGGGAAGCCACTCTTCAGGCTGAGGTCTGGATCAACAGCATCCATAGCCTGGCACAGCCACAGTAACCCACCAGAACTCCTCCAGCTTGGCTTAGGAAAGGACTGCAGGCTCAGGTCTGAGCTTAAATGGGGCTCAGAGGCCCATAGGGGCGGGGGAGGCTCCAGGTGTGGCTGCTCAGGGACATTAAAGCTCATCAGTGCACTCAGGGCCATGACACTCACCCAGACCCCGATGCTTTTGCTGAGTCACTGCTCCTATCACTCAGCCCCCATAGCCCACCAGTATAACTTGCTCTGTTTATGCTCTTGTTGATGTCAAATTTTATTTGATGTGACATCTCCTGTTTCGGAGGTTCTTGATCGCCTTTTTTAAACCCTCAATCCCACACCAAAGTGTCACTGGTTTCCACCACTTCTTTCTGCCATTTGTTGTGTTTCTTCTCCTTCCTCTAGAAGGTTTTCCTCCTATTTTGCCTTTTGATATCAGTGAAATGGCAAGTCTGTTAAAGACAGGTGGAGAACATGCCAACACAACTGTAATTTTTCTTTCAGGCTGCTGTAACAAAGTCATTCTCCAGCCAGTACAATGCTCTACAGCGTTTTGTAACTTCACATTTTTGATCTTAAGTACATCCTTGCAGCACCAGAAATCAGAATTTTAGGGATGGTTTTTGAGAGACTGGCAGCTTTTAAAACAGTGCTGCTCATCCATGCAAGCATTGAGTCTACCGAGGTGACCCAGGGTCTCTCTATTTTCACTGCAGGGAGGAGGACAGTCAGAGAAAGATATTGCATCCCTTTAGGCTGTCAGAAATCAAGCAAACCTCGTTTTGCAACTGTGCTGTGCTTTTTCACACACTACACCCCTGTTGCACTGTGCTGCTGCTTCCATCTTTTATTGCTGCACAATGTGAAGCAAGTGAGAAGATCACGTTGAGTTTCTCACGTTGACTTTTTGTTTCATTTGCTTGTTCTGAACTCTTGGCTCCCACCTCTTTTCGCTGTCTCTGGCTCCCCATCACCCAGAAAAAGAGCTCTTCTCCCTCTGTCCCTTCCAACTGCATCTCCCCATAGCTCCCTGCCTGCCTGGAGTGTCACATTACTTCTGCTTGAAATTAGTACCCTGAAACAGAGAAAGCAGCAGCTCCAGTCTGCAGCAGCCCGCCACCACCAATTGCTCATTGTTGTTTTTAACAGGAAAACTGGAACAGTCTTTGCATATTTTTACCGATCTATAAAGGATTTTTTCCATTGCCAGGCATTTTAAAGTCCAAATATTCATTAGAGTTCAGAATGTTTTCCACTGATCTGTATTTCTGTAGTGCGTGTGACTACACAAGTTGCCTCGTACATATTTCAAGTTCTTTTGTTTTGAAATTTGTTTTTAAAGTCCTTCAATTAATTCTGTATGATTTTTCGTATTCTGAGTACCTCGTGACAGATCGATAATTAACCATCATTATTCACTCAGCTTGCCCAGCAAATGGATTTGTCATACCCATATCTGGCCTGAAATTACATGTGTTCAAGTGTAGTTTTATTTATATGTCAAAGCTTCATTTCACAACAAAAGACCAGGAGCGGGATGGCTGGGCACTGTTCTCGTTCCTGAGGCAGATTTCAGTCTTTTTTGGGAAGATGTGCCTTGGACATGAAAACAGTCCCCTGCCTGCAAGATGAGAATATAGTGTTTTTCATGGTTTGGGGGAAGTGAGAGCACTATTGAGTAAGAAAATGGAACATGCAGTAGAAATTCTGGAGTAGTTCTTCACGGTGTTTTGGTCCGTGTGGTCTGAGCTGAGCATGAGACGTCTCCCTTCCTCCTCCTTCTACAGCCTTCTCACATGTAAGACCCAAAGATTCCCTACCATTATTTTCTGCTCTAATATATTCTTCCCCAAGATCACTTGGCTTTATGAAACGGAAAAGGGGAGTCCTCAGAAATGCTCTTTCCCTGCTGGATAGCCAGAGCTCTCCTTAGTTTTATAGCCCAATTTTAGAAAATACCTCCAGGGGAATCATGCTGTGCAAGCTCTAATGTAACAAACCCCTTGGGGCTTTCATTACTCTCTCTGCCAGCTTCATTAAACATCATTTCATACAGGCCACTGCAGAGTTCTGGAGGAAGTTGAGAGACAGCTTTTCTAGGTCAGAAACAAGCTTGGCAAGCTCATATCTTATCCGTAAGTCTGTGCCTGTGGCCTAGAAAGTGTAGTACTACAAGCAAGTGTGCCTGTCCATCATGGGATGGCTAAAACCCACGTGGGAGCACTCATGATGAAAGCAAAGAGGGGAATCACCTCGCACCACTGCAGAGCTTCCCTGCAAAAGAAGGCTGGGGAACGTCTGCTCATGGAAGAGGTTTGGATTCAGGAAGAACAAACAGTGTGCTCAGATGGCAAGAGAACTGCTAAGATTTCAGTCACGAGGCTGAACCTGAGAGGAACAGGAGTCAGTAAGACCCAGGATGTGTGAAGAGCTTGGAAATTCTAGGGAAAACCCCAGGACTCCATCCTGGAAATGAAGAGACTGAAGAGGGAGCCGTGTGGAACTGCAAACACTTAAGCCTGATGTCTAAAGACACCTTATAGACAGGGCTGGGCCTGGGGAATGAGTTACCCTCCTGTACTGCCCAAGGAGAGAGCAGTTCCTGTAGCTCACCAAAGACAGGGAAAAACTGTCCTTAACTGTACCTGCTCCCACATCCAAGGCTCTGGGGACTGTGCACTATGGAAGGAGCTACTTGTATTTGGGTTTTTTCAGTCAGCAAACCGTGGACACTGAAGTGCTAAGAGCTGATTCATGTTATTCTAGTTTTATTTTCAAATTAGTTTTCAGTAGGGCTTGATTATTAAGTAGCAAATCTAATTTCCTAGAAAGGAACTTCAGCACTTGCTTAGAAGTGGTAATGATGGTTTATAAGCAGGCTGCCAGCTAGTGATGTCAGTAAAAACTATCTTCTGGTGGCTAAGTAGGGAGTGTTTGAAATGTCTTGTGTGCACACAAGCTGAGGCTGGGCAGAACTATACCAAGGGTGTGTAGCACGCAGGAAAAACGTCCTACCTTGCTTGACCTTGGTTATTGGAACTTCTTTGAAGGATGACATCATTTCAGCTCTTCTTTACAAAGCTGCTTTAGGCAAATTTTTTAATCCCCTTTTTTCTGTATATTTGTTTAGCTGACTTTCATTTGTAAACCTGGGATTAAAAAAAATCATTTTAACAGAATTATAACAAACCTCTGCTTTGTCTGGTTGGTGCTTTACTTAGGATATTAATAATCCTTCCATTCAGATGCTTCACACTTCTAAAGCTGGTAAAATGGGCTGACCTTCTCTTAGTTTGCATTAACTTAGCTGGAAAAGCCTCCATCGTGGGAGAGCAGGCTCGGTGGTGTGGGTTGTGTGTCACAGGAAAGGGTCAGTGTGCAGCTTCATTTGATGTCACGGAGGGCAGAGCTGGTGGAAGGGATCAAGCCAGTAATCTCCACACTGGTATTCCTGATGGTGGTGGCACGTTTATGGTCTTGGAGAGAGAAAAAAGCACAGCATAAATTCTTTAACAGGAATTCTTTAACTGTGTGGTTGGACAAGGAAGTCTGTGACTTTAGGAATCTCCAGATGTTAGGAATGACCTGTGTTGGAGGACTTGGAGAATGGGTAGAGATGCCTGATATGAAGTGTGAACAGCAGGCAAAAGGCTACTGATGTGCCAGAGTGCTTTAAAAGGAGAGAGAAGGTGTTGAATTCTGGATTGGGAATGCTGTGTCACTTCCATCCCGTTTGTCCTGGCAACAAGAGACACACAAGACATTAGAGACAGAGTTTAGAGCAGGTCAGAGTCCAAGAGTCTTTACAGAAAGAGCAGCTGAATTTTCCTTGCTCCAAAGATTACATGATGAAGTGTGGTGGGAGAAGAGGAGGGAGACAAAGGGGAAAGTAGGGAGAAGGAGGGAGAACCCAACTGTCTGAGCTTTGCTGGTCTCAAAATCTTACTAGCAAAGTATTTGCATGCTGCCCAAAACAGACCATCTCCCAGGAGCAGTGGGGCACTGACAGCCTCAGGGGGAAGCTCGCTTTGAACCTGCCTGCAGAAGATGGTAGCAGGGTTGCAGCTGTAACTCAGATTTTCTCTCTTTGATCTCCAGGTTCTCATTCAAGTGATGCTGGTTTCCATAGGTATAAAACTTGGCAGGGAGAAGACACGAATCAAATGGTCTGTGCCCACTGGGTGAATCCCACTGGACTTTTGTGAGCTTGTAAGGACACTAACTTGCCTTTGTGCTACTGCTTTTCAAACATTAGGGCTCGCTGAAAGAGAGAATTCCCCTTCTGTTTTCCAGTCTTCAATTCTTTTTTCTGTGTGTGCACCACTTGTTTTGCAGAGGCTATCACTTTTTATCCTGGAGATACAAAGGAAATTATACTGTCAAGTGATTAATTTTCCATTCATAGTCTTTGATTCTATCTCACTTTTATCCCTAGGGCTGGGAACAATGGGCAGAGGCATTGTGACTTCTCTGGTTAAGGCCAACATACCTGTGGTAGCCCTGGAGCAGGATCTGGAGTATCTGAACACGGGAAGAAAAGCTGTGATGCTCCTTTTGGAACGTGAGGCGACGAAAATGGAGCTGGGTGCCCAGACCCTGGATTTCCATAACCCTGCACGTCTCCAGTTCACTGTGGACTTTGATTCATTGCGTGACGTGGATCTCGTCATTGAGGCTGTGTTTGAGAACATGGCACTGAAGAAGGAAATATTCCACAAGCTCTCGAGGATCTGCAAGCCAGGGGCCTTGCTGTGCACAAACACATCAGCCCTGAACATCGACGAAATAGCTTCTGCCACCAGCCGCCCACAGCAGGTCATTGGCACCCACTTCTTCTCCCCTGCCCACGTGATGAGGCTGCTGGAAATAATCTACGGCCGCCACACGTCCCCCACGGCCATCGCCACTGCTGTGCAGCTGGCCAAAGCACTCAAAAAGGTTGGAGTGGTGGTAGGGAATTGCTTTGGGTTTGTTGGGAATCGAATGATGTTCCCGTACGTACAACAGGCAGTTTTCCTTTTGGAAGAAGGAAGCAGACCGGAAGCGGTGGATCGGGTCCTTGAAGATTTCGGGTTTAAGATAGGACCGTTCCGCATGTCCGACCTGGCTGGGCTGGATGTGGGCTGGAGGTCGCGGCAGGGCCAGGGCCTCACGGGGCCCTCGGTGCCCGCGGGGACGCCGGCGCGGCAGCGGCAGGGCCAGCGGTACAGCCCCCTGCCAGACCTGCTGTGCGAGAGCGGCCGCTTCGGCCAGAAAACCGGCAAGGGCTGGTACCAGTACGAGAGGGCCGGGGGCAGGACAGCCACGCCAGACCCGTGGCTCCACAACCTCCTGGCCCAGTACAGGGACACCCACGGCATCGAGCCCCGCTTCATAGACCAGGAGGAAATCCTGGAGCGGTGTCTGTTTTCCCTCATCAACGAAGGCTTTGCCATCCTGGCTGAGGGAATAGCGTCGGGCCCAGAGCACCTGGATGTGATTTACATCAATGGCTACGGGTGGCCAAAGCACAAGGGTGGCCCCATGTTCTATGCCTCCACCGTGGGGCTCCCTCGCGTGCTGGCCAAGCTGCACAAGTACTCTGAGGCCCATCCTGATGTCCCTGGGCTACGGCCCAATGCCTTTCTGAAAAAGCTGGCAGCTGTGGGGAACCCCCCCATCAAAGAGTGGATGTCCTACCTCAGCCAGCAGAGCTCCAGGCTGTGATTCCACTGGTGGAGGCTGATCCCATGGAACCAGTGCTGTAATTGCACCGTCTTTTCCAATCAAACCCAAAGTGCTACAGGCTCACAAACAATGTCATGAACCTTCCTGGGCCTTTCCAGGGAATAACTTTGGCCAGTGATTGATCCCAGTCCTCCTCTTGCTGCAGGTAACCACTGCCTTCATCCATCCTCCTTCCTCAGCCCCAGCCTCACCCACCTTCTCACACACTGCTGTGTAAAGGCCTGTCTCGTATTGCACTGCCCCTGGGTTGTCACAGCTGTCCCCCTCTTCCAGTTTGTCTATGGGAAGGCAGGGAAGAGCATCCACAGCCCACAATGCAAATCATGGTTGGAGCCAACAGAGAGATGATCACAATTCACCCCAGACCAGCTGGATCTACCAGATCCTGCCTTCAATGTTTCCCAGTTTGTTCAGTTCTTTCCTGTGGAGCCCACCTCCACTGGATTCTCTGGATCTCCCACGGACATCCAGCTGAAGCCTGATCCCCTCCTGCTGCTGTGGGAGTGTTGGCACAAGGGTGTGGCACCTTTCAGAGGTAAAGTCAAATGAAGTGGAGAAAGTCTGGGCAGAGAGCAAGGGGCAGGACTGGTACCATCCCTCATCCCTGCTGCAGAGGAGACTAATAAATGCCAGAAAAGCCATAAATACATCAACCTGCCTACAATGCCCTGTGGTGTTGGCTCACGACTGGCCTTCTACATCCAGACTCCATCCTCCCTTACCATTATCCCCACCTGGCTTTGTCCAAGCAGAAACATCTTCTGGCACCTCTTCAGTGTGGAAATGTGTTGCCATCACTCCCCCATCTTGCCTGCCTACAGCTACCAGGTCTTGGGGCTCAGCAGGCTCTAATTGACCAGATTCAAACGTTTCACATTTTCACATGGGCAGAAAGCACACTGAGAAGGGCAGGGCACAAGAGCTGTGCAGGCAGGGGCACTGCTGCAGGCAGGCAGGGAGGTGACAGATCCCTAGCAGAGGGCAGAGGAGAGGGAGAGGGAGCCAGACTTGCTCCAGGCTTTGGAGTCTCCCATTTCACGTGTCTAGTAAATGTATCTTGCAGCCTGATGTGGGGAATAGGCTGGTCTGGGTTCCCTTCTCAGGGACACTGAATGTCTAACTTTTGCTTTTAATTTAATAAATCTGCTTTGATAATCTAATGACGGATTATGTGGTATCAAATGGGATAGCAGAAAAAAGAAAATGTGCTTGTTCCTTGTTTTCTCTCCATCACCTCTCTATGTGGTAGAACTAGATAATTTTCCTGTTTGTGTCTGAGAAGGCTGCATGCCTCTTTTTCTTTCCCTCAATATGTTCTTATTTTGCCCTTTGTCTACTCCTGTCCATCAGTGGGTGAGAGTGCAAAACTGAGGGCAGGAAACCCTTCAGAAGTCCCGAGCCAACCTAAGTGCCTTGTTCCAGGGAGGATTTTTCTCCAGGACCAGAGAAGGATCTCAGTGTAGCCCAGCAAACTGCTGCAGTTCACCCCGAATCACTCATGTGCAGAGCTGAGAGCAGCCCAGCGTTAGCTCCGAGGTGAAGCGCTGCTCCCACGCCAGCAGCCTCCGTGTGACACGTTACACAACAGCCCTGCCTGCTGCTGGGGCTGGCATGGCACCCACGGGACAGCCCTGGGCATGGCACCCACGGGACAGCCCTGGGCATGGCACCCACAGCACAGTCCTGGGCATGGCACCCACAGGACAGCCCTGGGCATGGCACCCACAGGAGAGCCCTGGGCATGGCACCCATGGGTAGCCCTGGACATATCCAGGTAGCCCTGGACATATCACCCACAGGACAGCCCTGGACATGTCACCCACGGGCAGCTCTGGATGTGTCACCCACAGGACAGCCCTGGACACGAGGGTCTGCCCGGGCCAACCTCCCCTCTCCTGTGCCTTGGGCAGGGATGTTCACTCGCACTGGGGAGGGGTTGGGAAAGGGCAGTTCCCCTTGCAGTGGCAGCAGGCTGTGCAGGAGAGAGCATGCCCCTCCTCTGCAGCAGCAGTGTTATCTCAGGACATGGAGACCCACGAGCCCACCCTGGGGCCAAAACGCTTCTCCTCACCTGCAGCACCTGTGTGCTGGTGCATTTGATGTGCCTGTCCCCCTTCTCAGAAACTGCTGAGTCCAAAGGCTGTTCACACCAGTAACGCCTCTCCCGACAGAAGTTCATTTGTAAATTCACATCGACCAAAGCAGCCCGGCATCGATTGTTCTGTCAGCCTGACGTCCCAGCAGCCAGCGGTGACATTGCTGCCGCCGAGAGGTCGCATTCCCAGCTCCGGGAGGGCGGGAGCAGTGCGTGGGAGTCCCGGCCTCTGCACTGCTTCGCTCCCGGCAGGGCCAGAGCAGCCAAAGGGCCACCACAGCTCCATGGCCCTCGGCCCTGCAGAGGGACAGCCTGATCCCAAACCCCTGGTGCCTTCTGACAAGCAGTCCGAGCAGAAGGCACCAGCCTGTTCTGTGAACCTCTTTGGTAAGTTGTTAAAATAACAGCCTTGCACAGTCCCCATCAGCTCAAATGTGCAGTGATGCCAGAAATATGCCCATGAGTGAAATGTTTCTTCATTTAACAGGAGAGAACACAGCCCTGTGCAGAGGAGAACTTGATAACCACTTGGTACAGGATTAGTTTCCCCACCTGTCTTTTTAAACCAGTTAACTATTTCACTCAGTGAGAAAATATCTGTTAAAAATGTTTTCCAGGTAAAACCCTCCCTATGGGCGAAGAATGTCCCCGGCTCTGCTCACTCTGCACGTCTGACTTGGTGAGCTGAGGTCATCCAGTTCTCAGTGAGGAGAG